TAATTTACATTCCTACTATAATGCAGGAGGGTGCCCTTTTCACCACAGCCTTACTAGTACTTGTTCTCTCTCTTTTTTTTTTTATCATAGCCATTCTGATTGGGATTAAGTGATATCTCATTGTAGTTTTGATTTGCATTTCCCTTGTGATAAGAGTCATTTTTTTTTTGTATGCTTTTTGGCCTTCTGTGTGACTTCCTTGAGAGTTGTCTGTTCAATTTGTTTGTCCATGTTTAAGTAGTACTATTAGTTTCTTTGTGGGTGAGCTGCTTGAGTTCCCTATACATTTTGGTTATCAATCTCTTATCTAAAGCATAGTTTGCAAATATTTTCTCCTATTCTGTGGCTTGTCCCTTCACTCTATTTATTATTTTCTTTGCTGTCCAGAAACTTTTTAAGTTGATGTAATTCCACTTGTCTGTTTTGAAATTGTTGCCTGAATTTTAGAGTCTTATTTAAAAAAATCTTTGCCAACACCAATATCTGCAAATGTTTCTCTGTATTTTTCACCAATAGCGTGTTACTTTCATAAAACAAATTTTGAAACTGAGAGTTTGGTAATAATAGTTTATTCCAATATCAATGATGTAATTATAACTTTGCCAAATTTAGATGAAGTCTCACTTTTTCTTTTTTAGAGAGGTTTTTGCTATAGAGCGCGTGCGCTCGCCAGACAGAGAGAGACGGTGAGACAGAAAGTGAGAAATCACCCCCCCCAGGGGGGATGGCCATGCCGCAATTCCTTCTCCTCCATGCTCCTCTCAGGATCTTAGGCACGCATGCACACGCGCCCGGCGTGAGTCTTAAGCCACTGGGTCCGGGACACAAACCTCGGTTGACTACATGGGAGTCCAGCGACATGGCCATTACGCTAACTGCTGGTCCCGATGAAGTCTCACTTTGAGCTCAGTTCACATAGTTGATTTTTAATGCTGCAATACAAATGGACGTGCAGGTGTCTTTTGAAGTCCCTATGAAGACGGGCTCATGAAATCTTATAGTAGAAAGCTGGAATGCTGTTAAACATATTATAGAATGCAGGACAACTCCCCGAAACAAAGAATGTTAAGCCCAAATATCAGTGGTTCCAAACAATGAAAAAGTTGTCTTACAGAGATTTCCATAGGAAAATTAATTATATTAACATCTTACATCATAATTTTATTTATTAGATTTGTAATGTCTAATGTTTAAAAATATTGAGTGATAAGTATGTGATGATTTTTGTTTTGCTTTGCATTTAACTTCAAAGAGATCAATATCAATTTAAAGGAGAATAAAGTTAAAACACCTGCAGAAATTAAGGAACTTAAAATATTCAAATATCACTTCTATTACATTTAGTCTTATATGTTTCAGTGAAGGAGCTGCCTTAGTTTAAATCTGTTTTGCAATATATCCAGTGCAAGATAGGTACTATTATTTACAGCAATAATTACGGATATTCTGAATCACCAAGGTACTTTCTTCACCTGTTATTAACACTGCTTCATTTTATTTCATAAATTATGATACCAGAACCTAAATTATATTTGTATTCCCTGCCTGTGCAAATTAACATAATGTGAAAACACCTTGCCTAGTGGAAAGGATGCCAGATAGTTTACTTTCATGACAATGAGTCATGGAATAGTCCTCTATTTGAATGTAGCATTTGATTTTTAAAAAATGGTTACATACAAACAGTGATTCTTTATGTGACTTTGCCGAAGGTAAAACTCCAACCAATGGTCTCGCTTTAATAAAGTACTGTTTACTTCTTATCATGATTTACAATAAAGCATGGGCACATATATTAGTAAGGGAGGAGAGGAGGACAGAGGCAAGGAAAAAGCAGCAGAAGAGACAGATTACACCAGGGCTGTGTATATTATCACCCCGCAGTCAGTAGGGAAGGCTGCTAAATGCTCTTACAACTGTAATAGCCTATCTCATGTTAATTCTAGCCTGAAGCTCCCTGACACTTCTTGTTCAGAGATAATAAGAATGAATCTACTTTTTTTTTTCTTATTGAACAGCAATATTTTTTTCCCAAGGACGTCAAATAAATTAAGCAGTCTTTGCAAACAGTAACACAAAAGCCTTTTGCTTCATAGGAATTCCCTGTAATAACATGCAAGAGTTATTACCCTTGATACTTAGTGGATTTTTTAATAGCTAGCAATAATCGTTTTGATTGAATATTGACTTATAATAGGCTTGTAAAGGAATTTAAGCACCCTTAACTGCTTTCAACCTCAGCTTCACATGCCTAGGGAAAAATCCTTGAGACAATACATCTTGCAGTCATTAACATGGAAATATTTTATAAAAATGAAAGTTAATACCTATTGACTTCAAAAGTGAAGCCAATTAAAATGGACTATTTATATTAAATTTTAATAATTCAATATATTATCGATCCTCTTCTTTGAAAGAGAAAATTATTTTATGGCAAGTAGCAATTTAGTTTCCTTGGACATTTCACCTCTCCTTTATGCGAAGACATTTCATAATATTCATCATTCTTGATATACAAATCACCTAAGAATTTATGAACTAAATCCCTAATCAAAATATTCTAGACTTCTTCAACCAATTGGGAAATAATACTGGGATATTTATTAAAAGAAATCAATATTGTTTGAAATATTGGAAAAGAAGGGTTGTTTTAATATTATTTTGTTTGATATTTATGGCTCCTTGGTGAGGATGCTTAGATGCTACACTCTGTTTTCTAGACTTTGTGAATAAAAAACGAATACTCCAGAGGTTAATCTTCTGAAAAATATGTGAAGTGGTTCTACCCTGAGGCAATAGAATTCACTAAAACTCAGCTTCCACTGTATGAATGGACTGCAAGAGAAGCAGGTTTGAGGCTAGATTGGACTCTGAAGAATTATGAAAAATGATTTCTTACTTGTTGTTTTATCACTTTCTATCTGTCATAGCAGGGTAGTATCAGTAATTGAAAAATACCCTTGTTGAGACCCTAGAGTTTTACTGCCCAAAGGAGACAAGAGTCTAAAGCTATGTGGAAGATGGTTACACATGGAAAGGCCTGCATCTGGTACTCTTTCTCTGCTTTGAAATCCTTGCTTGGAAAAATGATGGACACTCTTAAATTGCAAGGAACTTCTATTATTATTATTATTATTTTAAATATAAAGGCACTTCTGGATTACTCTTGCTATTTTCTTGTGCATATTTTAGATCTCTTTATTTTCATTGGTTGATGATTTTGATTCTCTTCTGTGTGTGAAATACTAAAATGTTTACTACATCTTCACAATATGGAAAGAATCTGTTGCCTTATTCCACATACTCACTCACACTAGTACATACGTTTTATTAGAGTAGGAAACCAGATAATAGGCCTTTATTTAATAGTTACTGAATTAAGGAAATGCTCACATGTTTTTGCATTTAAACAGACAACTGGGTTGAAACAATGCTGAGAAACAAAGTAATTAAACAGTAAAAGTCATACTTTGAGGGTATACTTTTATGTACAAATGAACATCAATGACCCATGATCAATAGAATGCAGTGTTGAATGATACAAATATTCAATACACTGGATTGAGTTTATTGGGTTCCATCATATTCAACCCAATGTGGGTGAGGCCGTATCCTTTACTGATCGTAAGGACACATTTAGATTGACAGGCTAAAGACTGATATGCTGATGGCAAGATCTATCACCTTAAAATATAACCAGTGGAAGAAGAAAAACCCGTTCATGCTATAAATCAAACATATGGATTTTTATATGTAATTAGCATCATATTCCATGTACACATTTGAACATAGCAGTAAATTGCAAATTATCCACAGGATTCCTAGTAATGAATGATCATCTGTCTTAATGTTTTCTTCTTTCTAGACTTGTCTCCCCCACCTATCTTAGTGGCTTTTCCCTGCCACTCTGCAGCTATCTTGAGACTACAAGCTTCCCTTCTCTCTACCACATACCCCCTACAGTGATGTCTCAGGACAGACTCTTTGCTAACACCTGCACTAATAGCTGGGTAGATTATCTACTGTCCTTAATTATCTCTCCCACCGCTCACCTCCATTAGCTTGGATAATTGACTGTATGTATAACATTCATAAGCAGAACAACATGCTATAGAAAACATAAAGGAGGGAAAGAATGAATCTTTAGTTTACATAAGATTAGCTGTGTGCAGTGTCAGACATTGTACAGCATCTGGAGTTTTGGGGGAGCATCTGCTTGTCTTTTGTTGATGAAGTCATTACGAATTCAGAATGAGATATTTATTTATTTATTTATTTTGAGGGCAAATGCCTTTTTCTTTAATCATTTTTTCAATTGTTATTTCTAGCTTAAGATACCTGTACATCTTTGTGGGTACAGTATGGTTTTTCAAACATGCATGCTGTGTAAAATAATTAAAAAGTTAGGAGGCAGTATTGCATACATTGTTCACTGAAAGATTCAAGAAGGAGTTTCAGTGAGGGAAAGTTACTTTCTCATGCATAAGAGGACAGGAGCAGCAAAGTATGCTGAAAAGTCGTGAAGAACACAAAGATTGGCCGTGAGTTATAAAGCCGCCTGGAGGCCTAGAGAATGTGAGGACATGAGTTCAAGAAAAACTTGTTATCAACAGAACAATTACGGAAAAATAAGAACAATAGAGTTTCTATATTTTTTAGACTCAATCCCATAGATTGTCCCTGTATTTCTCTTCCTTTTAAGAGAGATAGTTATCCCTCTTACATGGCTAACAAAACCAAATACTGAACAGATGAAGCACTTTTCCTCCAGCTGAGAAATGATGGAGCTGGAAAAATGAAACCCAGGGAGCATAATGCTGGAGGATGCACTGTGATCCTGCATGACACTGGGCCATCTAGAAAACTGTAACTCAAAGCCGTATTGAAAGCAAACAAATAACCATAAAAAATAACTCACGTATATGAAATTATTACAAGTCTCTATTATTGTAAATATGTAGTGAATAAAATATATTATTAAAAAAATAAAATTTTAGTAAACATAAATATGTAATTTAGATATCAGAGCATTTCTTTTATAAAATATTTGTGTTTTCAAGTTTTATTTGCCATTTTCAATTAGCAATAATCGCGCCTCGGATAAACCTCATTGGCTACGATACTGCCACTGCGCAAAGCTTTTGCCATTTTCATAATAGAGAGTGTGTACACATTCATGAGAGAGACAGAGATACTTTTTTTGTAGGTTTTTACCAAAGGACACATGCAATCACCAAGAGAGAGAGTCAGAGAGAGAGAGAGAGAGAGAGATAAAGAGACAGAGACACAGAGAGAGGCAGAGAAAGGAAAAGTTAGAAATAACTCCCCCCCCCAGGGGGGGATGGCCACACTGCAATCCCTTCTCATCCATTCTCCTTTTGGGAATTTTGGCATACACACACATGTGCCCAGCATGATTCTCAGGCTGCCCGATTCGTGCCTCAAACTGTGGTCAGCCATGTGAGAACTTAGTGTCTTAATCATCATGCCACCTATCGACCCCGAGAGAAATAATCTTGACAGAGTCTGGTCATGGCAAGATTCCTATTACTCCAGACCTTCAGTTACTAAGGATCCTTTTGTGCCCAGTACATTTTCAAACCAATTCTGGGATTGGAACTCAGGGTCAACCAAATGGCTTCTAGCACCAAAGTTCAGTTTGCTACTAATAGCACTTCTTTAAAAGCCAAAATTTCTACAGGATCCTTAAGTAAAAATAGGACCAAGGAGTTGTTTACAAGTAAAGTAATGACACATTTTCCATTTCTTTGTGTTTGATAAAGTAGTGATACAAACTTCTTCAATTTTGAATATTTTCAAATTAATTTTCACAATAAAGATAAAGGCTATTTTTATCATTATTATCATGAACACTTTCGGTGACCAAATAAGAATGCCTGGCCTATTACTATTGAGGTGTTAGAAAAAAAATGTGGAATTTTGCTCTCATATCTCTCATACCTGTGTTAGGCTGACCTCACACATACAAATGTCCAAAAACAGGTGTACTTTGAAGTGATTTAGTAATTGTGCTTGTGTGAGACACAATTCTTTAAAGCTTTTCTAAAACTCCAGATTTCATCTTGCTTTGTTTAAACTTCCTGCTTGTAGAAGTGTTGAATGCAGAAAGGTTTTCATTTGTGTTTCTGCTGACTTGCACATTCCACACAATAGGCCTTGTTATTAAGGGTCTAATCATGGTCAGTGCAATTTGCAGTGTTAGCTAATTTTTGCAACTAGTAGTGAATTTGAAATTAATTACAGACTATATTGGGTTCATTAGTGTCCATGACGGGTATTGTGCCTGTTTGTTTGTTTTTAATTGAGATGGGGGATAAAAAGTTAGAAATGCTGCTTTCTCTCATATGCAGAAATAAAGTGGCACAGCATTCATCAGAAACACAATAGCAACAGCCAAGACAACAGAAGCGTAGAATTTGGCCATGAGAGAACATATGCATCTATCCCATTTCTGTATGTGCATTCCAATGTATAAAATAGGATGGACAATGTTAAAAGAATCGAGTGACAAAAACAAAGAAAAAACCAGTTCTGCAATTTCATGCATATTTACTAAGAGGGGTCAAAGTTCTAAATGTTCCCTCTAATCAAATAATTTATTAGGTTTGTGAGGTTAACTGCTCACAGCTAAGCAACTTGTAGCTTAATTGCTTCTCGTACTACAGTAGAGTTAGAAATATCTTACTGACTCCTATCCCCAAAGTGGGAAACCCAGCCTGAGGCACTGAGTGTGCTGTACGGGAAACAGTAGGTAGCATGCTTCAGCCATGTCAAATTAATATTGCTATCATGGGAAAACAGATAGCATAATGAAGGAAGAATAAGGACATCTAGGAGAAATCTCTCCTGGTTTCTATTTATGTGCAGGAAATAATGATTTGTTTCCCACTAAGAAAATATTATTCCAGAAATTAATTTTGAGCAACTAGATACACATTTTAGATTCCTCTATTCATTTTCCCTTTTAAATATCTGGTTACATCTCTACTATAGCTTTCTAAGTCTCTAAATGGGAAAGGGAGAGAAATAGTATGTAAAATTAGAGCAAGGAAATAATGAATTAAATATATTTTTGTGTGTGGAGTTTAATGTATAAATCTCCTTGTAAGCCAAGTCCGTGACTGCTCTTTGCTCTGTGGTTTGAAGTCATCCTTACACTTCTTGGATGATAAATTATGAGCAGAGAAAAACAGCAGGTTGTGTTCACAATGATAGATAATAGGTTGAAGGAAAGTGTGTTCCTTAACTTGGTTGTACAACCAGCCTCATCACTCGCGACATTTAAAAATATACTGGATAAAGAAAATGCCCTTCAGGGAAAATCATTTTCTCTCTGCATAGATAATCTGTCTTTGCAAGACTTTGCTGTGTATGAAGAGTGTAGGAAGTGATGGTACACCAACAGAGGTATGAGACACCTTCCTTAAACTCGCAAAAGAATAGCTGGCAACTGTGTGAGTGAGAGCGGAGCAAAGATAGCCCGTTCTCTAATGCTGGTGTGCAGCAGCAAGCTGAGGGAGGGCTCAGGTACACCAAGTGTCTATCACTTACCGGAGTGGAAGCATACGCTATGCTATCTTTTAAGCACCATTTTTATTATTCACAAAGAAAGTAAAGGGACTACTGGAGGTAATTCATGCCGATGATCAAAACATTAATTAAAATGAGAAATCAATATGATTTCACTTTTCTATAACTAAGAAGATCCTATTTTAGCATATTATGATGCTATGTGAAGTGACCTCCTTGAAATATTCAACAAAATACACAAAATCTTCATAAATGAGGGTTCAAAAACCATCAACACGGAAATACCCAAAGAAACGAGTCTCAAACTAAGTTTCATATAATTAATACAATTTAGAAAAGTATCTCTATTCAAGTATAAAGTATTAGTTCTGTTCCAAAGACAATCTTGGACACAAGTGCAGTTATGATTAAAAGAAAGAGAAAGAGATGGAAAGCCATTTTGCTCCATTATTTGTTTTAATCAGCAATAGCAAATGAGATATGACCTGTTCCAGATATTTGGATTTCTTAATGTGTTGTAGTAAATAGATTACTCTTCATATTATAATGGATTGGACTCATTGCCTGGGGAGGGGAGACTGCATTATAATTACAATGTTACCAGAGGGGTTACCACAGACTATTTCCCCAGGATCTTAAGTTCCTTGAACTAGATAGTTCATTGTGTTTTTTTAAACATGTATTTGTTATTGTTTAGGAAACTTCTCAGAGGATTTGATATTTTATTTCTCTTTCTAAGAGGAGCACTAGGGCATTTAATATTATTTGTTCAAATGCATAGAGTTTGTGTCTAATAGGGGATTATTTCTGTAGTTCAAGAAAGAACTAAATGCTATAAATGTATACCATCTGATTTTTATAACTCAGAATATTGTGTTTAAACACAGACTCTAGAAAACTTTCTAGTCTGGGAAAGAAAGTTTGCAATAAAAAAAAACTAACATTTTTTCTGATCCCCAAACCTTACTTTGCTTCTCATTCTGGTGTTTCACAATTCTAATTCCAGTTTCTTTGTCAGAAGTAAGGAGTACCTATTTTAGGCAAGGATCACCTTGTTCCATTTTTATTCATCATTCTTCCTTGACAACCCTGGCCACCTTCAAGGCGACTGACCGGAATAGGCGAGATGTAGGAACTAGGAAAGAGCTCATTGACAAGCACGGTACATCCGCGATGGCACCCTCCCTGCCTTGTGCTTCACTAGGTTCCTTAGTAAACCGGACCTGTTCTTGTTGGGGCCTCTGATTTCAGTGTCTCCTGATATGGAAATACTGTCCTGCAACAGCCTATTCCACCTGAATCCCCTCCTTCAGGCTTTTGGAATCCAGGTGCCCACCTTCCTATTGGGGTTCCATCAGCCTACCAGGCAGGCATTGAGAGCGGCACGTGAGAGGATTGCTGGCTGCACGTGGTGCAATAGCAGCACAAACCAAGATGCCACGGGCCTCTCTGCTGCTTTCACGGAATTTGCTCCCAACGTAATTTCTTAACTCTATCATCCGTCTATTCCCTGAGGATTTTTTAAAATAGATTTTTCCTTAGGGTGTGTGAACCCACTGGAGAGACAGAGAGACAGAAAGCGAGAAATCACACACACCTCCAACCCCGGGGTGGGGGGATGGCCGTGCTGCAATCCCTTTTTCTCCACTCTGCCTTTGGGATTTTGGGCCCAGTACACACATGGTGTGAGTGTCGAGTCCCTGTGTCCGGGACTTGTACCATGGGCCGCCCTGTGGGAGTCCAGCAACTTAACCATTATGCCATCTGCTGGTTTTACTCCCCGACCCCTGCCCTGCCAAGGATGTTTTAAGTTGTAGTTCTGGTACCCTCTTCTGTACATCACAGATGTCAAGGGTCAGGTCTTCCCTTAAAAATTCTGCACTTTGTTGAGATTAAAAAGAAAGACTGCCTTTCCCATTGCATGCGTGTGTGTGTGTGTGTATGTGTGTGTGTGCGCACATGTGCATGTCTATCAGGTAGTGGAGGGAGACTAGATGATAAAGCTCTCCAAATTTTTTTCTGAAACCTTAGCCTGGATGTGAGTGATATGCTGCAGTCTGCAAAACTGTTTATGCCTCCCTGTTAGTAACCCTATACAGACAGCACACATCAAGCACCTATGGTGTTGTTCTAGACTGTGTGGTAAGATCAGGCAAGCTGAACACAGGTAAAATCCTTTTGCATATATATATATATATATATGGGGTTGGATTTTATCCTGAAGGTCATGAAGAGTCACTGTATAATTTCAGGAAGATGAGTGAAATAAACAGGATTATGTTTGAGGGAGTTCGCTTCAGTAGTGGTGTAAGCAACAGTTTAGGGAAAATGAGCCTGGTTCTAGGGAGCTATGCCGGGACACAGTTGCAGTCACCTAGGTACGTAAACTGAATATTGCCCAAATGGAATTAGATACTAACTGTGAAAAATGGTGGAATCTGTCTTTGGCTATACCAGGATTTAGAATTTGTAAGACTTGGTTATTCATTACATACAAGGAACAAGAGGAGATATTAAGAAGGATTTCAAGTTTTCCAGCTTAAGTGAAAAAAAAAAAAATGGTGCCATTAATTGAGATAGGAAATACAG